GCATTGGCATCCTTCAGTCTCAAAAGATGATGGTATCGTGCTCTGGAAAGAGGTAAAGTTGGAATGTCCTCTCCAGAGCACAAGGCCTAGGTAGATTAATATGGAGGATAGACTGCTACCCAAGCAGCAGATCCCCCCTCTCCACATCACTGAAATAGTCCAATGGAACGGCAGAGCCGATACGATTGGTTCCAGCTGCATTGCAGGAGTTACCAGAATGTGGTTGTACACAGTTACGAACTGCTTCCGGGACTCCGGCTCTGGATTTTGCCTCAAGGTTGACTCCTGAAGCCTTTCCCAGTAGTGGATGTAGGCACAAGGCAGTGGAGGTTTGACATCAGAGTTTCCCTTCTCCTAGAAGATGGTTCTGCCGCTTGATCTGCCGTTGGGGCGTAGAGCCCTCTTCCGCCTTCAAAACCATTGACCGTCTTCTTGTGTAACCCTGGAAAGGGGCCGTTATGAGGTCCTCCCAGCTGGGCCAGCTGGACCAAGGTTTTTTAAGGAGGTGTCACTCCTCCATCACTCACCCTTTGTCCTGGCTTGTGACAGGCAGAGCCTGGCTTCCCAACCATTGGGCCCAGGATGGTAGGTTTACACTGTACATACATACTTATAAGCAAACCTCGCTCTCTTCTAGCACTGATGATGTTCCCTAGTTGGGTATTGAAATGTCTGCAAAAAAATGACTGCAAGTTTAGAGAGCACCAAGGATCCCACAGTCGTCCTCCTCCCGTTCCTCCTCCTTCAGAAACCCCACTGCTTTCTAGCCCTGATGATGTTACCTAGTTGGGTAATGAAAACATCTGCAAGAAAATCACCAAGCTCAGAGAGCACTAAGAACCCCACAGTTCAACCCTGAACCAGAAATATTCTCATCTGCTCTCAGACCAGCAAAAGAATCTAAGATAAAATGCTGTTTTCCTCTAAATATTGGATAGTATCTAACTTGAATTGTGATTTTTTTTTCATCTTAGGGTCCTCCAGGGTTACCAGGTTTTCCGGGAACACCAGGGCTTCCTGTAAGTAAATTGTATTATAATCATAGTAGCTGAATGACTATAAAACAAGCAACCATTGTGACTATATATCAGTGGTGGAATTCAGCCAATTTGCACCTCTTTGGGAGGGTTCCACCACAAAACCGCGTTCAACTAAAGCGCGCTCGACGAAACAGCATAGCTGACGTCATCACAGCGCGATGAAAAAAGCATGCTGTAAACGCTAAAGCTAAAATTAACCCCTAAACCTAACCCCCCTAAACCTAATCCTAAACCTAACCCTAAACCTAACCCTTAACCTAACCCTAAACCTAACCCTTAACCTAACCCTAAATCTAACCCTAAACCTAATCCTAACCCTTAACCTAACC